GGGGGGGGGGGGGGGAGAGTGGGATCCGGAGAAAAAATTGAAGCAAGATTCATGAAATTCCTCAGGATCTCACAGGAAAGCTCAAATTCAACTTCAAGAACCCGGAGAGTCTCCGAGTTCTTGCCCAAGTCCTCCTCAAGCACGACTTCGGCCTCTCGGTGGACATCCCCCCCTCGAAGCTAGTCCCGGCCCTTCCCCTGCGCCTCAACTACATTCTGTGGATCGAGGATCTCCTAAATCACTCAAAAATCTCAGATGTTCACGGCCTCGATGTAGGCACCGGGGCAGTCGCCATTTACCCCCTCCTCTGCGCCAAAACCCTCGGCTGGAGGATGACGGGAACGGAGATCGATCCCTCCAGCATCACCTCCGCTGTCGCCACAGTAAAACAAAACAATTTGGATAATTTAATTCAAATTTCTCCCGCCGAAAAAGCCACCGTTTTTAAGGCGGCGATCGACCGTGGGAACTCTTACGACTTTTCCATGTGCAATCCGCCATTTTTCGATGCTGACAAGATGGACGACCGTAAGGTCAAGAAAATGGCGCCGAGGAATGCGACGACCGGAAGTGAGGGGGAGCTGGTGACCGAGGGCGGGGAGAGGAGTTTCGTTTTGAAAATGATTGACGAGAGTTTGGAAATCAAAGAAAAAATCAAGATCTATACAACGATGATTGGACACAAATCGAGTCTTGGGTTTTTCAAGAGGAAATTTAGGGAGAGGGGCATTGAGAACTTTACGTGGACTGAGTTTTGCCAGGGGCACACTAAACGGTGGGGAATCGCGTGGGGGTTTTTGGACAGAGATAAGATCGATTTGAAAAGCGCGCCGTTCATCAGAACGAGAAGCGAAGTGAGGAGAGGGGGAGAGGAGGCTTTTGGGGTCGAGGTGGTAGTTCCTGGGGAGGGGGAGTATTCGGAGGGGGTTCCCAGGGTGGCGGAGAGGGTCAAGGGGTGGATGAAGGAGTTGCAGGTGAGAACAAGTTTTTTTTATTGTTTCTTGTTTAATTTCATGAATTTCTTCTTTCCTCTATTTGAAATATCCCTATTCAACTGGAAGATTTTTGTCTTCAGATTCAAATTGAAGAATTGAAGGTAGAAGATGAGGATTTGGATGTCTGGACGTGCCAGCTGCGCGCGACCGAGGATTCCTGGTCCCACGCGAGGAGAAAACGTCGCATGGCGTTGAGACTGCAACGAGACCCTAAGAGAGCTCGTCCAGACCCTTCAGATGATCCTCCCTCTCGAAATCCTCTACCAACAGCTCCACAGGGCTCCTCAGACCCTCAGGACCACTCGAGCTCCACGGAACTATTTCTAGAAGCCACTTTAGCCATCGGTGAAGTGTCTGAACATCCGGAAGACTCAGAAACTCCTGAAAACTCATCAGAATCTCCTGAACCTCCGAAAACAAAAATCTCTATGATTCTGGTGGGGGGAACTGGTGGAAAGAATGCCTTGGAAACCTTCAGACAATTTTTAATTAATAAATTGGGGATCAGGGGGTACTTTCAAAGCCAAAATAAATCTAGAAGTCCAAGGAAGAAGAAAAAGAAGAGAAATTGTAGTGAAATTGATACAAAGAAATAAAGAATAAAAATCGGTCCTTAAAAAACTAAACTGTTTCTAAATTTTCGCTTAACCATAAATTTCACCTGAAATTTTGAACAGAATTTATTATGAATAGAAATTTCATCAACTTCCATTTCAAATTCATTTCAGATTTTTCAAATGTCGGTATTGTTGAGCCCTATCGATCGCCATCAATTAAAATTTAATTCATCGATTAGTTTTTTTCAATTTTCGAATTTTTTCGAAAATCGGTTTTCCCACGATAACTAAAAAAATTTTCTGAATTGATTGAATGGTGGCTTAAAAAAATTGTTTGGACGTCCTTTTGACCGAGTTCGAAGATGAAGGCGACAGCAATAATCGTTATTTTGATTTATTTGAAAATTGCAAAAATTTTGTATTTTTTGAAAATCAGAATTCCGGGGATATCTTTGAATATCATGCTTCAAATCATGCTTTTAGATTAGAATCTTTGGGACTTGAGTGGAGTTCATATTAATTTACAGAAAATGATCGAATTCCCATTAATTTTCGAAAATAAAAATTTCATAAATCGTCTAATCATCGCTTTCAGCGGTTCCCCCCATTCCTCCAGCCGTCAGCTGGCAGCGCCCCAACGTCCACCCGCCTCAACTCGCTCAGTCCATCCTTCAGAGCGCATAAATAACGTCAATTACCCCCGTTTTCCCTGAAAAATCACAAAAACCCAAGGAACTTTGTAATCGCTTGAACAAAAAACGCACACTTCGTCGGTTGAAAAAAATCCAATAAAACGAGTGAAATTGTCGTTATTTTCCAAAAACGAAGTGTCGCACTTTGAGGTTATTACTCATACCGTTTGGAGCCTCGAAACCTTCAAGTCGCCGGACAAATGCTCCCCAAAGCTCTCAACTCAATCAAATACTCGATGATCAAATAAAAACAAAGATTGAGTGACTCAATTATTAATTTCTCAGTCGAATTCTTGGGCTGCGGGTCGAATAGATGGTAGAGGGTGGGCCCGAGGTGCTCAGACGAGTCAGTGAATTTATTCGGAATTTTAATCCACGATTATTTTTAAGTAAATCATGGATACTGACGTCGAATCCTGTTTGAAGGAGTGGAATGATCTCGCTACGGATTTCAAGGAGCTTGAGGTGAGTTTTGGAATTTTTAAAAATAATTTTTTGGGTTTTTTTGTTATCTTCAGAGTTGTTTTTTGGTCAAATTTGTGCTTCGTGGCCCCGTTTGAATCCATGCAGCTGCTGAGAGAATACTTTACGTAAATGTTCATATCGTTTTAGTATTGAGCTGTTGCTGTAAATTTTTTGCCTATAATTTTCTCATATTTTACAATGTTTTAGACACAATTTTAGGAATTTTTAGATAGAAACGTTTTTTCTGCGCTTTTAATGACTTAAATTATCTCGTTAATGAAGGAGTTTGGGAGGAATGTGGAATTTTTGGGAATTTCTACATGATGTACCACGCAATTGACAATTTTGGATTGCGAAAGATAAAAAAAATCCAGGTAACATTCGAAAGATAGTACAGCCGGGCCTTACGTGAGGGATTTTCCTAACTAAATGTTAACCATAATAATAATAATATAATATTACTGTATTATTTTATTAATATTTTGGTTTAGTTGAGGGTCAAACAATTCAATATTGACCTGCACTTCCCCGCTCGTCGTTTTTCTTTAATTACAATTGACTGGCTAACCGAAAAAATTAAAAAAAATTGACTTTGTCAATTGAAGTGTCCAAAAAAAATAATAGTAGTTTTTAGAACAAAATATTTCCCGAAATTCCTGAAGAAAACAAATTATTTTGGACAGAAGAATTATTTTTTCCCATGCAAAGACTAGGGTTGACAGGAAAATTTTTTTTGAATTCTGCCAAGTAGTCTCTTTTTCTGGTGTTTCATTTCACGTGAATGCTCAAATGTTGAAAATATTCTCATCATCTCCTATTTCAACTACCGATTTTACTTTTGATTTCTTATGATTTGGGTATTGTGTGCTGACAGGCTCTCAACAGGGAGTACGTGGCCAAGTTAGAGGAGCTGGCGGAGCTCCAGGGGAAGTGCATCAATGGCATTTCCCATCAGAGGTATCGCATGGGGGTCATCTCCAAGTCTCTGAAGCAGTGAGTATCAACTCCCATAATGAGGGATTTACGAGGAAATGACTGGAGAGATTTTTTAATCCGAAATTTAAATAAAAATTCATTTTTCATTTCATTTAGTCTTTTTCGTTCTATTAATTGTGCAGTTATCTCGTTCGTGAGTGGTTCTAAAAGAAAATGTGTGAAGACATTTTTGTTGGAAATTTGATGCTCTACAAAAAATATATATTGACATTTTCACGTAAAGCCACTCGTTATCAAGATAAATCCAAAATAATCAAAAAAATAAAAAACAATTTTGATATTTTTTTCAATTTTTCGTCAATTAAAAAATTTGTTTATTTGTTTGGGCTATGTAGACGGCTTATCCGTCTTCCGCAATCATCAATAATGTTTCCTGGCCATAAATAATTTTTTTTTTCAATTTTAAAGGGTTAGATTCAATACATGGTTTTGATTTTTTAATTAAAACAATTGAATTGAGTATTGTTATTCGTGCTGATGATTCTGTTTTTGTTACGTTGAAGATTACAAACGAGTGAAGAGCGCCATAAATTGAGGAAAGACATGGAGAGAAGAGAGGAGCAGTTGCACGAAATGGAGCAAACATTACCAAAGGCCAATGGCACGTATTTATCAATTATTCTCGGCTCTGTCAATGTATCAATATTGAACAAAGATGAGAAGTAAGTATTACCCAACATGACATTAGTCAATAAAAAACACCTCCTATCACAATGAGAAAACAATACTACAATCGTTGTTGTTCGGGGACTGTTGATGATTCAGACAATTGCTATTGTTTTTGCAGGTTCAAGTACAAAGACGAGTACGAGAAGTTTAAGTTGGTGCTCTCCGTCATTGGGTTCATCTTGAGTGTCATTAATTTATTTACTAATGTCAGGTGAATCATACAAGAATTATCTTCATCGAGTTATTTTCTTATTTTTAAACCCAAAAAAGAATACGAAAAATTATTTTTTCGATTTGAAATCGTCTCTGACTTCAGGAGTTGGTATTATTTTTTAGAAAAGTTTTAAGAAGATTTTTATGGAAAAATAATGCTTTTGTTGATTACCAAATGTCGATATTCATAAATGAGAATAGAATTCCGTATAAAATGAAAGGAAATATTCTAGAAATTGAGATGAATTCAATATTCAACAGAATTGGAAAAACTTCACAGTTTCCAAGGAATTTTTTCTCGACAGGATTAATTGATTATGAGTTTTGATTATTTTTTATAAAATTTTTAAGCAAATTTTTACGAAAAATAATGTTTCTTTTAATTATCAAATTTCAAGAGATGTTCACCAAAGAGAATTGAAGTCCAAATAAAAAATAAAGGGAAAAATTATAGAAATTAAGATGAATTCACTATTGAACAGAATTTTTAAAAATTCTCAGTTCCCAAAGAATTTTTTTTTCAGCTATTCTTGAAGGATTAACTGATAATTTGTATTTTTGTTCTCTTAGGACCCTCGAATTGAGTTTCATGTTCCTCCTAGTATGGTATTACTGCACATTAACGATACGCGAGAGCATCCTGAAAGTGAACGGTTCACGAATAAAGGGCTGGTGGCGGTTCCACCATTTTTTATCGACAGTTGTATCTGGCGTTTTACTCGTGTGGCCCAATACTGACCCCTGGTATGCATTCCGTGGGCAATTCATGTGGTTCAACGTTTATATCAGTAAGTATCAACATTTTTTCATCTTGAAAATTATCCTAGCCTCTTCGGAGGGAAGGGATTTCTCTCTTCCAAATAGAAAAAAAAACATGAAAATTCCAAAAGATTTGAATTATTAAGAAATTGAGAATTTGACAGATTTTCATCAAATGCTCGATCACGTGGAGACATATTTCCTCTTTGTTAATTATTTGGATTATTTCCTCTTGGAAATCGATCATTAACCAGTGCAGCTCGTCAGAAATATCTATCAGAATTCCTGCAACTTATTGAGATAATTTTCTAAAATTGGAAAAACGTCTGAGTGGTGAGAATTCAGAGAAACATCAATTTTTTTTACAAAACAGTTTCTTTTTGACTGATTATCTCCATGAACTTTTAATCAAATTTTTATTTATTTTTTTTATTTTAGCATCCAAATCTGATGATTTCTTGTGCTTAAAAAAGAAATTTACATCATATTCTGTTAAAAAAAAATTCACATCGCATTCAGGTTAATACAGTATCATATAGTACATTCTTCGTTTTAGGTCATTTACTTGAGTCTTAAATGCTTAGTCCGGAATCACATCCTTGGAACCGCTCAAAATATCTCGATTTTTTTCTCCAGAAACTCTATTAAATATTATTTGGGACAATTCGATGTCCAATAACTACTATTTGAGACTATTTGAGAACATTTTATACTCAAATTTGCAATTACATAAAAACACTTTCTTCTTTCTTGATTTTTCTCGTCAACTCTCACTAAAAAAATCATCTCAGACCAGTGAAATTAGTCTCCACTTTCTCCAACTCTCCAACAAAATCTTTTCCACTCAAAAATTTTACCCATAAATTAAAAAAAAAAATGTTAATTAAAAATCAACTTCCTTCCAGGTTTCGTCCAATTCCTCCAATTCCGCTATCAAAGTGGAGTCCTCTACCGTCTAAAAGCCCTGGGCGAGCGTCACAACATGGACATAACCATCGAGGGATTCCACTCGTGGATGTGGCGAGGCCTGTCATTCCTCCTCCCCTTCCTCTTCATAGGCTACTTCTTTCAATTGTACAATGCCTACACGTTATACCGCCTGATGTTTCACCCCGAAGCAACCTGGCACGTACCAGTGCTCGCAGCCATGTTCTTCATCCTCTTCCTCGGCAATGCCATCACAACAATACTCGTTGTGCCCCAGAAGTGGCAGGACACATTCAGGAGTCAACTGCCAGATGTTTTTAATTTCAAGAATGATAAGAGGAAGAACTCACAGGTCAAGGAGGAGCTCGCCGCCCAGGAAAAAAATTCGGTGGGAAAGAGTGACGAGATGACTCAGCATCAAGAGAAGAAGGCGAATTAATTTATTGATTGATTATTAGGTGATTTACTGGGATTAATCGAATTTTTTACTCGTATTTTCTTCGTTTTTTTCCTCTCAGTGTTTTTTTCGCGAATTTTGGAGATTAGTTGAGATGATTTACAGTGGTTTCCTCGGCATAATATTCATTGTCAATTAATATTGAGTAATATAGTAATATATTTTTTTTATTCTGCTGTTGAGTGGAAATGGTTTTGATAGGGAAGTGGTAGAACAGAAGGAAATAGTTTGTTTTTGAACTATTTTGATGAAGATGGAGGGTCTTGGGGGTGAGTGGGACTAGGGGGAATGATGGGGGATTTTTTTGTTGGGCATTCAATTTTTTTAAATGTTTCTGTACTGAAATCAATCGGTAGTGAGATAATTTTGAATTAATGGAAATTGATAAATCGAAAATGTCACTTTGGATTGATTATTTCTGGTCTTTTGATGAATTTGTTATTATCTAGGAATTGTCAGTGTCTTTAGGACATTTCAAAAGATATTTTTTGTGAGAAAATAAATTCTCGTCACGTTTCCTTTTAAATTACTTGTTATAGAAATGAATTCATAATTGCTTGAACAAGAACTTCAATTTTCAGTTATTTTTTGTCATCTTGTTAAAAGTGAGATTATCTTGATAATGAGAGGCTTTAGAGACTTTTTTTGTTGAAAATTTGATTCTCTACAGATAATTTCATTTATTAGATCGTTTCAAATTGATTAATTATAAATTGAGATGTCGAAAACGTCAATTTTAATTAATTATTTCTTTTTATCTCGTTAAATATGTAAATATCTAATAATTATCAGTGGCTTCAAAAATTCTTGCAGTTTAAGTCTCGAAAATTCGATTGTTTCGAAGAAAATATTTAGGAATATTCATTCTCAGGATCACTCATTACCGAGACCGCTTCATTACTAAAAATAATGAATCTTGCTCCATTTTTTGCATCCTTTTAAAAGATATTATCTCCTAAATGAATGAATTTACGAAAAAATTTAGAAAATATTTTTTGTCGGAAATTTAATTAACAACAAAAAAAGTATCTTGACATTTTCTCTTAAACCCACTCGTTCATGAGATAAACACAATTAACAAACAACATTCACCTTGATTTATCGTTTTACCACTTCGTTGATTCTACTCCATTGAAATTTAATTTCTCTCGTTTTTTATAAATTTCTTTCGCTTCTTTGCGAGTTGTTGTAATTGTGAGTGGATTGTAATGGAATAAAGGGTGTCGACAGATCAGTTGCGACATTTTTTTGAAATGTTCACAGCTCCGAGGGAGATATCGCCCGCTAGCGAATTTTAGTGATTTTTTTCCATCGAGAATTTACGTTTTTTGTGAACAGCTCGAGAATCGGGAGGGGTTGAGCGTTGAGAATGGTCTCATTGGACAGCCGGGAATATTTCCGATTCAGTTCACTACACAAAAATGCATTTTGCCCCAATGGATCGTCAACAACCGTTTAAAAACTGTTTTAGAATAAAAAATTTGTTTAATGAATATTTTTGGAGATTACTAATAAAAAAAATCTTATGACCAGTGAACTGGATCGGAAATTTCCCCAGCTCTTCGAAGATTCCATCCCCTCCAATACAATTATTAACAATTGGGAGATACCCGATTTTTTTTAATTTAAAAAATTTAAAATCGATTTCGTTAATTATCAGAATACAGTTGATTCAGATGTTTTATGAAGGAATAAAGTGGCATTCCCATTACTGTGTAATAATCACCGTTGATTTTCTTTATCAGACAGCCTCCTATCCCCTGAATCCCGTAGCCACCTGCTTTGTCCCTGAAGAAACAGAAAAAAAAATTTTTGTTAATTTTTTCAGCCAAAAACTGAAGGATAAAAATGTGATTTACATTTTAGTGAATATCTTGAGAACCGGGAGGGGTGGGGGGTTGAGGGTAGCCTCATTCGAAAGTCCGGAAAATTCCCGATTCAATTCACTACAAATAAACCCATTTTCCCCCAGTCATTAAGGGATAATCATCAATTGACGATTTAATCATTAAAAAATGGTTTGTTGAATATCTTGAGTAATAATTGATCACAATGGAGTTATGACCAGTGGTTGGAATCGGAAAATTGCCTGGCTTTCCAATGAATTCAATTTTGTTGGGAAATTCCTGCGACTTATCGACATATATCGATTTTTCCGTCGGGGATTGAATTCGTACACTTGAACTCTATTAAAAATCGACTTCAACAGCTGGAAAATGTTGAAAAATGGAGAAGTGCATAATTAAAAATACAAAATTAATTTTTTTAATTACATTGGTTCACCGGTGGCTACATAGGCCCTGATCTGCTCCTCAGAGATGTCTCCGAAGGTGACTTTCGCGCTCTCGAAGAATTTAACTTCTTTGTTTCTGGTTTTCAAACAAACTCCTGAGAAAACCTCGTGCTCTTTGTTTTTCAAATTATTCAGTATTCTAAATGCATCGGCTTTGTCCTTCGGTTTCCCGTAGATGGTCTCCCCCATGGTGACGATCGTGTCCGCCCCGATGATCAACTCCGGGGGCCTCTGATCATTTTTCAGTCTTTGGAACACCTCCTGGACTTTGAAGTACGCTAGGTCCTGGACGTATTCTCCGTGACTTTTGTACTTCTTTCGATCGAGATTCTCGTCGTAAGTTGAGGGGATGCATTCGGCGTTTATCCCCTGTAGAATAATTACCATCATTGCGATTGAAATAATTTGGTAATCAAATTATTTCGGGGATTTTTTTTTTAATATGGGGGTGACTTCAAATTATCAGATTTGTAATCCAAAGAATCGACGTAAATTTGAAAAGCTTTCTATACGGTTGAAAATGAAGAGTCTCTCCCTCCCCCAGAAAAAAAATCCTTCAGATATCAGCATAATTATAATTATTCTGATTAATTTATACTGTTCTATTTTATGTTATTTTCTTTCCATTTCCGTCTTCACAATTGGATTAATTTAATTTTATCCATTCTTATTCGTGTTATACAAATATTGCCTTAATTCACAAGTTACAACATTGAATGAAGAGGAATTATGTTAAAGATCAATAAAAAGTGCGATACCTATCGCCTTTTTAACTCACCAAATTTTTAATTATCTCTTGACGTCTCGGCGATCCACTTGCCAAAACTACTCTACTGCTCAATATTGCCTGCACTGTTGGCTCCAACATCTCAAAATTAAATACTGCAAAATTTGTTGAATTTTTTCAATCAATGAGATTGTCTCAAATTAAATCAACGAAAATCGAGGGAAGTTTTTCAAAAAAAGAACAAAAAACTCATAGTTTCAAACTCAACAAATCATGTGATAGTCTCATAATTCCTTGAAAATATCCGAAATAAATTCATAATTTTTTCAAAAAAAAAAAAAAATATCAAGGTTTTTTCTAAAATGTAAATTAATAATTAAAAAACAACTATTATTACTATTATTATTATTAATTTTTTTCTAAATTAATCATTAAAAAAAAAACAAATTTTAAATTGTTTTTATTTCTTTCATGAACAAAATCATGGGATATCCTCAACCTTTTAAAAATGTTTTTGAAAATGGTTGAAAATCGATTTTTTTTAATGGTGAAAAATAGCTCAATAAATCAATCAACAATCTGCAATCCTCAAAAATTCTAAACAACATCGGTAAGTTCTCCCCATATTAGAGTAGCTCTACCCTTACAGTAAATTCAAAGATTATTGAAAACTGCAAAAAAAATGCAGAAGACTCGATTAGATTCGGAATTCTAATTTTTTTCTCAATTTAATTATCGTTTTGGTTTTTCAAAGAAGAAATGTTTCAAAATCAGGATTTAACCCAGTGTCTTATGTGAAAATCAACATTTCCATTGTAATCGAAGATGAAAATGTGAATTTTTTTTCATTAGATGTGAAAAAATTAAGAATTTTTTTGACACCTCATAAAAAATAATCCATCGTTTTGCAAACAAGTTTCATTATTTATTTATAAGAGGGAAATGTTTGAAAAAATATCAATATTTTGCGAAATTTAATTTAGATAATACCGACTGGGTATGAATTTTTTCAAATTTTTTCCATACAAATTAGTTGAAGAAATTTAAAAACTGAAAATATCCAAAAGTAGGGGAGGATGGGGTAAAATGGACACTAGATTTTTTTTTAATTATTCATAACTCAGGAACAAATTTATCAATTGAGCTCAGTTTGGGCTCGTCACAAAGGGAAATAATTGTTCTTTGTATTAAAAAAAAAATTATTAAATTTTATCAACATTTCAAACCCTTATTAACATTTTTAAAAAAGTCAAAAGTGTCCGTTTTACCCCAACCGCCCCTACAGCGTAGCCCGGCCGAAGGGTGGAGCTACTCTAAATGCTAGAAAATTAATTAAATTTTCCCAATCAACACGATCTTCTCAACAAAATCTTTGATAAAACCGCGGGAAGTCCTTCAAAAAAAGAACAACAGCAAAAAAACATTTTCAAACTCAACAAATAACGTGATGGTCTCACATCTCTTTGAAAATCCTCTTAAAAAATTTACAATTTCTGCATGAATCAAAAAAACTATTAGCCCTTATTATATGAATTAGCAATGAAAAAAACTATTAAAAATCATTTTTTCTTTCATCAACAAAAATCACGTGATAACCTCAAACCTCAAAAAATCCCCAAAAAAACTCACAATTTCTTCAAAAATAAAAAAAAAAGATCAACAATTCCTCATTATATCAATTAACAATAAAAAAACTCTTCTAAAAACCTTTTGTTTTCTTTCATCCTCAAAAATCACGTGATAACCTCAAACTCCCAAAAATCGCTTCCGAAAAGTTGAAAAACTCGAAAAAAAAATTGAACAAAAATTCCGAAAAATAGCTAAATACCTCAATCAATAATCCGCAATGGCCAAAAATTCTGAACAATCTCCCCCACCAACAAACGCAAAAAATTCAACTGAACTTCACAACTCCTCGACATGAGGAGTCGCCTTAAACTCAATTACCACCGACATCATTATTATTATGACAACCCGGTTGATTATTCACGTTATTCCCGGAGTAACGTGCATCGTCGATCGCTCCCGTCAGTTAACAATTACCTTTACATCGTGACTGCGAGCCACAAAAAAACAACTAACCGGAGATTAGTCGCAGGCGGTCGCGCGCGTTAAATGAATCGATATTCCGTGTTTTTTTGGGTTTGAGGAGTCGATATTAATCAGTGCGAGTGTCATGGAGGACGTTCTGGACGAAGTTGTGTCTTCAGAGGACCTCAAAGTGAGTCCATCACCCAGTGAATAATTAATCAAGCCATTAATAATTTATTAACCGATCGTTGATGGCTACGGGAGTTCTAGGTTAGCTCAGGAATTTCTGGAAAATTTCGGGGAATTCTCAAGGATTGCCGGATTTTTTTTGGTTAGGATGAGTTGCGTCACATCTTATGAGTCATTTTCACTGTCTTTGCGAGGAATTACTCGATAAGTAAGATATTTTTGGAGGTTCTTCTGTTCTTGAGATAATTTTCGAGTTTTTGGAAATTAAAAAAAATGGGGTTCACGTTTTTGGAGATATGTTTCGAGCGGGAGAGAATCGGGGGTTGAACATTGTCTTGTTGGACAGCCAGGAAAATTTCCAATCTGTTTCGCTATAAATAAACCCATTTTGCCCCGGTAGTACTGGGATAATCGTTAAAGATGTGATTTTAATGGGTGAAAAATGTATATGGAATGTAGGGGTGGGGTAAAACGGAGACTTCAGACTTTTTAAAAAATATTCATAACTCAGAAACAAATTGATCACTTGAGCTCAGTTTAGGCTCGTCACAAAGGGAAAGAAAGTTCAAGTCGACTTATCTCTCAGTTGAGTTTTTGAATAATATCTCCGAATCTAAAGGAGATATCGAAACCTTTCTAATAACCTTTTTTCTAGAGCAAATTGAGTGCTACAAAAAAGGTTTTACCAAAAATTTAACTATCTCCCTTAGATTCCGAGATATTCACTGAAAACAGGCCAATAGTCACAATCGACTTAAACCGTTTTACCACTTTGCTACTGATTTATAAATCGTTCAACTGTATTTTATGTTGAATAAAACATTTAACATTTTAAAGATCTTTATTAATATATATAACAATCAAGTACATCGAGTAACAGTATCACAATGAGCTTGGAACTTGCAATAGATTTTTATGGTTTTTCGATGTAAAAGAGGTAATTATGGTTTAGAAATTCGAGAGAACATACAACGAGCAGTTGAGGTCATCCTCAGTGACCCAAAAGGTTCAGTTCGAGTATGCCTGGTGTTTAGTGAGGAGCAAATACCCAGCGGACATCAGGAAAGGGATTGTTCTGCTCGAGGATTTATTCAACAATCATGGAGACAGTGAAAAGCGAGATTGCCTGTATTATTTAGCCATTGGAAATGCCCGGATAAAAGTGAGAATATTTCTGTGCACTAATTGCAATAGAATCTTTCAAATTACCCGAAAGTTTATCGTTTGGAATTTTTTATTGTTCTATTTGTTTCAATCTCACAACATAATTTGCATTGTGAAGATTCAATTCTGAAATAAATTCTAAACGAAAGATAATGTGAATAGAAATATTCTGGATTGAGATTTTATTTCGTCTTGCCACTGTTGATGATGATGTCTCATTAATTATCTTACTATTCCAGGAATACACTAAAGCATTGCACTATGTCAGGGCATTCCTCCAGGTGGAGCCTGGCAATCAACAGGTCCAACATTTGGAGGGTTTGATTAAGAAGAAAATGGAGAAAGGTCGGTGGTTCCATCTAAAAAATTAAACCCATATTTTTTCGCTCAAAAAGTCACTAGAGAGCCTGGGAACGACCATTTTATCCCAGAAATTTATTAAATCTGACAGAAACTGAATTTTAAACCTTGAAAATGTTTTACATGAGATTTTGCTCTCATCTCATATTTTATTTGACCAAATTATGGAAGAAAATGAGAAATAATTCAACAAAATGTTGTGAAGAAAAAAATTATTTTAATTGTCAACTTTGTTTGTTATCTTCATTTTCAGAGGGACTAGTAGGCATGGCAGTAGCTGGTGGAGTGATCGTGGGTCTCGCAGGCATCTTGGGTCTAGGGATTGCAATGGCCAAGGGCTCCAGATCTTAGCTAATGAATTCTCCACACACCTGAACCACGATGCTTGTACCTGTACCAAAAACCAATACAAAGAGAGCCCTCGAAAACCATCGAAAGTCACCAAGAATTATCTTCGAAGATGTTGAACTAATCACACAATTAAACAAGTCATTAGTGAAATCTTGAGCTGCTGAGGATGAGGCTCTAGATTTCATCCATCTTGTTTTGCAAATACCTGCGAAACTATCGAGTTTATCAAAAAATGTCAGATAAAATTTTTTGTGGAGAATCAAATTTCCAACAAAAAGTATTTTCTGACATTTTCTCCTTAACCCAATAATTACAGAGATAATTGCGTAATTATCAAAAATTATGTCGACTCGAAAAATTAAAGAGCCATTGTGTTAATTAGGCAATTATCTCGGTGATGAGTGGCTCTAGGAAAAAATGCATAAACACATTTTTTGTAGAGGATTGAATTTCCAACAAAAAAGTCCTGTGAAATTTTCTGCTAAACCTCTTCCTTCAAAAGACATTCAGAAAATACTCTGGACTTTTTTTGCCTCAGGCTCATCTCCTATCCTCACTTGACTATAAAATTGTAAAATTTATTGAAAAAATTTATTCAAAATTATTGGAGACATTCCAAACGCCACAAGAAATACAGAAATTCTCTCGTCTTCTCCTTAATTTCTCGTTTTGTACAGCTTTATTAAGTTATTCGTACGATCATTGAGAAAATGACGAAAAAGTAATATAAAATGGATTAACTAACTTATAATAAGAATATGGAGAGGGAGTTAATTACGTGATTAATCGATATACTTCAGTGTTTATGTAGTTGAAATTTTTGTATAAAAAACGAGATGAAATGCCAATTCCCTTTATTAATAATTTTTCTTGTCGATTCAAATAAATGAAAAATTCAATCTTCCCGCGAAAATGCGAAGATTCCCAGGAACATTTTTCTATGCATCAATTTATTGTTTTATGGGATTGGGATTGTCAATCCCATGATTTTTTATTTGTTCTAATGATTTTTGTAATTTAAAGAAAATAAAACGTTTCAAGTTTCAATAAATTTGCTATATAATAACACCCTTTTCGTGATAATTCCATCAATACAGATCGAAATATCAAATAATTCCATTCAATTCATTTTGAAATATCAAATAATGGAAAATTATAGCCAAATTTAGAAAAAATTGTGAAATTTTCAACTAAAACAAAATTTTATGTAAAATTCAAATGGATTTTTTCGCATGAAATTTTTTTATTGAATGAAATTATGAAATTGATTTTTCAATGCATTCCTCCATAATTTGAAAATTAATAATGATGGATTAATTAATAATCAATCGTTTTTTAAATTAATCACTTGGTTATGACGTCACAAAGTCGGAGTCGCCCTCCATTGGTTGAGTAGATGAAGTGGGAGGAGTCGTGGGTCTTCATTGGGCGAGGCGCATGCGCAGATTAGGTTGGGTTCGTCTGAAAACTTTCTGTGATTGATTGAGCCTCCACCATATATTCACACTAGCGATTTTAAATATTTAAAATGGCCAATTTTAACATTTCAAATTTTTTAAAATGTTTTTCTTTATGAAATTTTTATTTATTTCTGTATTTGATTTTTTCCTTTCATTTCTAAAATTTTTCATTTTTTACTTTTTTATTTTTACTTTTCAATTTTTCAAATCTTGCTTTATCAAAACGAAATTTCATGAAATTTCTGACCATTGTAGTTAGAGATGCAAATGCGTCACATGAGGCATTTATGACGGCCGTCACAATTCCTCCCGCCCCTCTATGACCTTCGCAATTTTCAAAAAAGATGAATCATTTTTTATCTCCACAGATGAAACAATTTTTTTTTATTTATTACCGTCACAATTAGAAATTATTTGTTACCGTCATTTGTAGCAGGAAAATTTGTGTGCCATAAACACTCATTTGGTCATTTTGCATCTCTAATTGTAGTGCCTTAAACTCGGGATTCCCCGAACTTTGAATATTTTTTTCCCAAGAGATTGGTTGGTCAGTGGCCAATTCACGTACTAGTGGCGCCACAGGAGTAGATTCGATCATTCGATTCCCGCGCATTCGGGAACCATAACCTGTGTCGAACAGCTGCAACCTTACATAAGTTGTGTGGAGTGCGTTTATTCAAAGATTAAAATAAAAAAAAACAGTAAAAAATGGTGTACACTTGTTTGTTCCCCGGCTGCAGCCACAAATCTCGGTTCCAGTTCCCGCGTGTGGGTAAAGATCCGCAGATTCGCCAGAAGTGGTTGGACTTCATCGGAATTGACTTCATGGAACCTGCGTCGAGGAAGGGTTTGTGCGAGGCTCACTTTACTCCGGATCAATTCATCATTGAGAGTGCAGACACAGGTAAAAAATATGCCGTAGTGTTTTAGAAAACACGAAACAGATACGACAGGTGTAAATTCATGCATTATTGCTATTCAGGATTGAAATTAATCAGAGCTAGGCTGAAGACCAATGCTGTACCCACGATTGCAGTTGTTCAGGCGAAGAAGCCCCCGGAAGGTTCGTTATTTCAGAAAAAGAGATTATTCTTCGTCTTCTTGAATTTCGTTTCCGATAAAATGGAATGATAACCGTTGACAGGTTATCAAAAGGTGGATAAAAAATTTAGGGATTTTCGTGATGAGTAAAATTGGTTTTCTAGATGTATAAGATAATTCAGTATTTTTTTTAGAACAGTTGGGACAATTTTCGTGACACGTTATATGACCGTCATATGACCGATGCAAATATGACAATTTTTGTTATATGACCGAATTATGGTAGTACTAACGTATGACCGACTAGGGCTGGCCATCAATTTCCTGATTCTTCAATATTAAAAGAATTTCCGAGTTATATTGATTAAAGTTTGAATATACTAATCGAAATTTAAAATTAGCAAAACAATTGAATCTAAATTTCGCATTGATGACGCGTTAAATATTTAATAATATGGCACTGTAAATTTTCTATTAAGTAAGTAATACTAAATTTCTTATAAGGAATTTTCAGTTGTCCAAATAATCGTCAATCTTCCCAACTAAATTACTGATTAATAAATAATTCGGAATTTGAATATTTAAATTGATGATTTCTTCTATAATTAAAATTTAAGAGTGCTATTAACGAATTGACTACTTAATAATTTAACGGTAATAATAATCTATGGATATGGCTATTCCGGTAGGTATGAAAATTGTTTCATTTGGCCAAATTACTCTGACTCTCCAATTTTATAATCTTTACAATCGATTTCCACTATTAAAGAAAAATTCTAATTAAGAGAGATAACGGCCAATTATTTCCTATATTTAGTGACATAAATTCTATGTGACCGTAATTTTCCATATAAATAGCAGTAATATTGTCAAACTACTCAAATGATGACAGAAAAATTACGGTCGTATGGGACGAGCGTGGAAATAGTATATTTACAGTATAGTATTTATAGTATAGTATATTTCGATGCGATTGCGTAAAATTATTTTTTGATCCGTGGGAGATGTGTAGCGCCCCCCGACGGCGAGTGTCACTCTCTCAAGGGTCAAAGAACGCTTTCCACGAGTGTCAAACCCTATTTTCCATCACAATGTGTGAAAAGTGGCATTTTGCGCAAAATTTCACTTTACGTCCAAGTGATAAAATATACTATTTCGACATCTTGCACTTGAATACTCTATTTATCGGACGGAATAGGAATCCGTGGAAGTATGTTGCGAGCCCTATCTCTCCCAAGGAGCCACTGTCTAGTGGCCAAAACGTGAATCCGCGACCTACGCCCCGCCGCCCTCAGACATCCCAATTGGCTCTTAGTTCTTCCTCTTCTCCAAAAAATAAACATTTTACTCAACCATTACAAAAAATTAACACCTCCGGTATTTCTATCAGATTCAAGAACCTTTTCATTTATAGAACAGGAATCCATTCCTGTCAATATCGAAAAACGCAGTCGACCAAAGTCATTGGAGGGAGAAGATGTCACTGGGAAAATGAAAAAGACATGTGTTGATACTCCACTCGATGAACTTGAGAACACCTGTGCAAACTCAGAAAAAGCCCAAGAGCTACAACATGAGTATTTTAACATAAGCAATGAAGATCATACGTACTCTCAAACTGTAGAGATGATTGCAGACGACAAGTCTTACGATGAACAAGAACTATTGAACAAGATTGACCAGATTCCCAGAGAGAGGGTCCCCAGTCCCAAAATTATCTCCCCAGAAGGAGAATCCCAAAGTCAAAAGACACAGACTGAAATCAATAATCGAAACCAAAGTACCCAGACAGACCCCAAGAGACGGGACCAGTCATCCCAAACCGGAATGTCCCTTGGCTACAGCATCCACGACCTTCGAAATAACAACGAGGCGATTTTGTACTTCACGGGTCTAGAGAACTATACAAAATTCCGAGTTGTCCTGGCATCACTTGGCCCAGGTGTCTTCACCCTGAAATACAAATACTGGCACGTGCAGAATGTGTCAGTTGAGGATCAGCTGTTCATCACTCTGTGGAAGCTCCGCCGCAACACCTCTGACTTCGAGTTGGGCTTTCATTTCCAGGTAAGTAAGACTGCGGTCAGTAATATTCTTCACACGTGGATCCCATTCATCGCTGATCAGTGGAGGAAGCTGGATAGTTGGCCAAGCAGAGAGCTTGTCGATCATTTCATGCCAGAATGCTTCAAGAAACGCGATCCTCAAGAACCAGTTGATGAGATCCAAAACGAAATTGATGGATCATCGAATGATGAAGAGACTTCTGGTAACTTCAACTCAATTTCGACTTCAGCTGATGCGAGAAGGAATGATCTAGAGATGATTGGAGATAGTCCGCCTGCTGGAGGTTCCACTGCTCAGGATATTCTGGCACAGCACGAAGTGCATCTGAAGATGCCACACCTTCTGGAAGAGAAGGATCAGCTACGTAGGAGGGGCTCTCAGCACAATAGCAGTGGAAAACGTGGTCGTTCTCACATTGAACGACTCATTAATTGTATGGATAACTTTAAGATTCTGAAGGCGCCTCTGAGTAGCAGCTACGTCGACTTGGCTGATGACGTTGTTTCTATTTGTATGATATTGTGTTGCTTTCGGGAGTATGTGATGAAGGCGGCAGATTATTCGTAGTGTGGATTATACGCTTTACTGATGCTGTTTTGAAAAGATGTTTTATTATGAACTTAAGTAAACAAGTTGTGCATTTATCTATTATTTGGTTTTATAAATTTACTACGAAAAAAGAATTGAGCGTGAGCCACCTTCTTTATTCCCTATTTTGAGGTATATTAGAGTCATTCTTATATTGTAAAGCGGAGTCTGTAGCCCTAGTCTCCCCTTGCCAGTTTTGTTCTCTCGGTTGGAGTCTACCCTGTTGTGTATACGGACGCAGCCTGGCCTTGCCCTCTCCTTAGACTGATCATTAAAAAATAGTGGTCTTTGATCTTGATGATCTTTCGATCGCAACGTAGATGCGGGAGCCACCAAGTGGTCTCTAAACTAACTAATCTTGGAGGGCAACCAATGAGATCCCTTGGAGGGAACTTTTTAGAGCTTGAACTAGGGGAGACTCCTAGACCCCAATGTTCTATACATACTCCTAGACCCCATTGTCGTCCTAGACAATGTTGTCACAACTCTGCTTTTCAATTGAAAACAGACCTCATCTTTAGAGACATTTGTCATGTTTAGAGACCCTAGCACGCCATTTCTCGACCCGCTCTTTCATTTGAGCCCAAAAAAACATTCATATCTTGTCTGACACCGCTGCTACAAACTCGGGTCTACAACTCGGGCTTTCAATTCAAAATAAAATTATATAAATTCACAGCGAGTTTATTTGCATTTTCAATTTTATTAAAGCATTCAATGATATTAGTTTGATGTCTCAATTCAAATGAGACTGCGCTACGCAGTGTTAATTCAAAAGAGTCTACTTGGGATACATATGCGTGTAATTAACAGTGGACACCCGGTAGAATCGCGGACCTTATGCCACGATCATTTGTGTTATAGTGGAACACATGGCGCCATCCATAATTAATATCGACTGCAAATAAACCGGGTGCAATTTCTACTCTACCGACATTGTTTGACCGACTGCAAGGACCGTGCACAGATGTGGTTGCGTACAGTTGTTCCCTCACATTTTTCACAAATCTGTGGACAGCCGTGGATGTGTGCAGTTGCGGAAGTACGAACCCCNCCCGCCGATCTTACGCGATTTTATTAGAGTTATCACCTGATGGGGGCACAGAAATTCAAGGAAAACCCAGTTGATAACTCATCCGGAGATCTCTTCATTACCGGCTGATGGTATCTCGTGGTATTCCAATTCCAAACTCTCACTGGAGATGGCGATTCAAGTCTCGAAATACCTCACAATATTTTACACGAATTCCCAAGGAACTCACAAACTTTCCGACCGGTAAAGGCCCCGAGGGCAATAGTTGCCGACAAACGACGATTAGAATCACCCTATCCCATCCAAGAATTCCGAATCTAGGTCAGTGCACACTTCAAACGCACTAGTGTTTACCCACGACGTCATACTCGCAAGTATTTATCCTCAATTAGATGAGTCGAGTATGCTGAGAGGGTTGTTACTCCCTTCCGGGCTTATACGAATATTCACTCTGCTTTGTGAATCAAGTTTGTCAACCGCTATTATGTGACGATCAATGGGATATCGTTATTTGAAGTTTGAGAAATTATTTAAATGTGGGAAATCTGGGGGAAATTCTTCAGTTTTATCATTTCGTTTATTTTATAAACATTAACGAAATTTTGCCTAGGAAGGGGGTGATGATGTCACACCAGGCAGTAATAAAAAACATTTATTTGGAAAGTTTTATCTCAAATTGAGATAAGATTCGACAAAAATAATTGAATAAAAAAAAATAATTGAATAATTTTTGTGTATTATAAAAGTCCAAATCGACTTTTGGTGATAAAAATTTGGTACACGAAATTAAGACTGAAGTTGAGTGTCACAAGGGTGATGAGGATCAGATTAAGGGTCGCAAGGTTCAGAATAAAGGTCCAAGTAAGGGTCACAAGGGTTAGAGTAAGGGTCCAAATAAGGGACACGAGGGTCCATCTAATCCTCGTCGCAAGGGTGTTGAGGATCAGAATAAGGGTCACAAGGGTCAGAATAAGTCACGAGGGTCAGATTAAGGGTTACAAGGGTCAGAATAAGGGTACAAATAAGGATCAGAGTAAGGGTCCAAATTAGGGACAGAAACTAATGGTCATCAAGGTCAAAATAAGGGTGACGAGGGTTATAATGAGGGTCAGATTAAAGATCCAAGTGGGGGTTACAAGGGTCAGATTAAAGATCACAAAGGTTAGATTAATGGTCAAAATAAGGGTTTTAATATCTCTCTATACTGTAAAAATTCAAATCGACTTTTGGTGATGAAAATTTGGTGCTCGAAATTAAGACCCCAAACTTAAGGGTCAAAATGAGGGTTAGGAGGGGTATAATCAGGTGTAGAATGAGGGTCACAGGGGTCAGAATAAGGATCATGGGGGTGTAGCCCCCTAGTAATTGAATAAAAAAATTTGAGAATTTCATGAAAAATCTCTATTTCGAGTGAGTTAAGTATAGAATAGAATTTTATTTCATTGGTGCTACAATTACTGTTCTACACCTACACAAGCCCCTCCTTCTCAACACAATAATAACATGAAGAGTGAGTTAAGCACTCTTCATGATTTCATGAAGCACCCCATTGATTTCCAAGCAGTCAATTAAAAAATTGAGAGGAAAAATCCTCGCATTTTTCCGTACGTAGGCGACCCACATTTACTTGAGAGAAATGGTAGTTGCATTTAGTCAACCAGAAATATCTGTCACTGGACCTAAAAAATGCAAGAATTTCCCTCATTCCCGCAACTAGCAAAACTGCATCCTATTTTTTATACCGTGGGTCATTTTCTTTTGCCGGTGGAAAATGAGACTGCAGGCGTCAGTGGGGAAAAATGTGCCGTTGGTCTCATCAATTACCCACGTCATGGCGGAAATGAAAAACCGCAGTAAGAATGACATTACCATGAGCCAGAAGACATGCTCCAGATAAAAGACATTTCCTTCGAAAAGGGAGAATAACTTCTGAAAAATTGCAGCCTTTATCTATTTTCATCTGTGGTGATCTACTCAATGAGTCGTATATTTCCTCCGGTATAACCAATTGGGATGATGGAAACACATAAAAATCTGACGACTTATTTGTCTTCTCGGGTTTTGGCGAGATAACCTAGAAAAATTTTGACCGTTTAAAATTTTTTTATTGGACTGGGTCCACCCGAAATCACATAACTTCACTTCCCTTGACCGGACTGACTCAATTGATCATGATTTCAAGTCGACGAGAGATGACGTTGAAAAAAACATAGGCAAAAAGGCGGTTTTCATGAGTACAATCGTCTAACGTCGAATTTTCATGAAGCCCGCCTAGCAAGCAAAACAGAATTGAATAATTCTATGAAACATGAATAAACGAATCACAATTGTCCAAATTATTTAGGTCAGAGGAAAATAGACTAATTCTACTTTCTTAACATTGCGTTTACTAAGGTTTTCTTCGAACAAAGTTGATTAGAATTAACAGCTAGAATTATGAGATTATCTCACATTTTTGACGTTAAGGATAGGAGAATCTGAATCCAATATAGTGAAAATGATGATCGTTTTTTTAACTTTGAACAATTATTTTAATATCCAAATACAAAATTCCTGATATGAATAAAACGAAGCTGTGACTCAATATTCCAAATGAAGTTTTAATTTTTAATTTGGTGCTGAAAACCCGAGATGACAATATTCTAAGCACGGAATTATATTGATGAGATGAACCACAGATTAATTGAATTACCGTGTGAACAAACTAAAAATTGATAACAGTGAGGGCACGCACTTTTACCAGAGTATCAACAAGCATTGAATTTCAGAAATTCACACTCTAAAGTGTGTTCCAGAAGGAATTGAACTGTAATTGTGATTAAAATCTTATTCAGTGAGCATAGAAATTAGAAAATGAGCAAATCATTTATTGTAATGTGAAAATTTAACAGTTGATAAATTGGGACATGTGATTCTCATCGGTCGTATTGCTTTTTGCAATGAGAATGTTTATAAACAATTAATTGAAAGAAGGAATATCGAATCTGACAAGAAAAAGGGTATAATGAAAGGGTGTCAACACTAGAAATTTTCCCCACCCCAAGAAGAGTGTAGCTGAAACAATGATTTTTTCCACCTCGTTTGGACCTCACTGCACCTCCTGCTAAATGTTTTCTCTCCACCTGACCTTTCCTCAACATTAAACACACCCATCTGCACTGTCCGAGGTCACTACGTGCCTCGTACCTCTCCCAGGTACCACACATTGAGCCCAGTATCGTGAACATCCACGTTTTACCAGTGAAAACCAGAAGAGCACAAAGTAGTAAGGCGGATGATGGTTATAACCAAGTACGTGGTTAACGGGGGTATTGAATAATTTAGGGACCATGTGGAGACAGGTGAAATGTGTCAGAACTTTAGTTGACGAAATTTCGGGGGAGAGAAATTGGATAACTCCGGATCTTAATATAATTCTGAGTCATAATACTCGCGGAACATGCGATGCGCTTGAGGAAATAAGTAAAAGGTGCCGTAATGATCATTAAAAATAATTTCACGATCATGTGAACATTTTGGTGATGAATGATTTTTATTAATGCGATTCATCATTTGTTCATCGCTTCCGAATGGAAGCTTTGTAATCGCTCAAATTGAAGTTGCCTTCATTTTTTTCGAAATTTTCTTAAAAGGGATCAATCGAATTTCATGAATTTTTTCATGAATACAGACTAATAAGCTCTATTCATTGACACCAGTTAAAATTCAATCTGTATTTTCTGTATTTCCATACAGATTCGAAAAAATCGATATTTTTCCAGAAATCGATTTTTCAACGATCATCCAAAAATTGTCATTAAAATGGAATTAATCGCGACTCAAAAAATTTATAACAATACCCTCTTGATTCTATCAGAATATGATGGGTGTCGCACAATTCGTTATTGAGTTACAGCACATTGTTTGTCCGATTTGAAAAAGAAAATCGGTTTTTCATGATTACTGAAAGGATCATCAGTAATAGC